TAGATGTGGAGCCTGGTAACAAGTATTGTAACACACGCTTGAGGTAATTCTGATGCACACTATTTGAAAATAATGCTCCATACCACTGCCTGTATGTCTGGCCCTGTTAGCAGTAAGCATATCTACAAGAAATCACAATCTTCTGTCAGACGTAAAAAGTATAACGAGAAAATGTGCATGTCACTTTAGTTCCATGGAAAAAGGAATATTACTACATCTTGGGTTTTCTTAAACACTCTTAAAGCTACCTTAGCTCTTCCCTCTAGACATAATTCTATGAGAAAATGGTTCTCCTATAGATTCACTTGAGACAATAACTGACATCTAAAATGAAACTTTTTAAACCAAAAAATAATCCTACAGAAACAATAACTTAGTGATTATTTTTTCCTAATTTTATCAGGCTATATTTTATTAAAGTAAAATCTACTTCTATCAATGTTGAAAAGTAACCAGGTAACTGAAAAGACACACCTGACATACTTAATTATTCATGTATGTGATATTCCAATAGCACATTAAATAATGTAAAATTTGGAAAACAAGGTCTACCAAAGTCAATCTTATACAATATAAAAAAAATCATGCAATTAAACTGACTTCAACTGAACAAATTCTGAGATAATAAGTAAAAACACTTCCTTTAAAAACATTAGTGTGGTGCACTTTTAATAATGTTATGTAAAGTGGGCACACATCAAGATTTTAAAATTTAATTCAACCAAAGAAAATGTTCATTAAGCAACTAATGAGAAAGCTGATGGCAACAGTGTTATTGATGGCTTTTGCTATAACGATGGAGAAGGAATACCTTTCATCAGAGTTCACATTCTGGTAAGCCCTGAGCAAGGTCAGAAGCATTTGATAAATGCCAGAAAATTAGGAGGACAGAGTTAAGACTTGGGGCAAATTGAAGGTGAAGGAAAGAAAAAGATTAAGAGCAACTCCGTGACGCCAGTGATGCCCAAGAAGATGGTGCTGCCTCTTAATGAAATTAGGAATGTAACAAGGACACACGGTAGGTGAAACAGAGGAAATCAACTCAGTTTTGGACACTCTGAATTTAGAATCCCAACAGCTATCATTGTTTACTAATAGCAATGCATTGTTCCAAATATTTTACATATATCAAATCATAAAATTCTGACCACGGTCCCACAAAGATGGAACGAACTATGATTTATTAACCCCTTTACCAGGTGAGGCCCAGAGAGCTTACGCAATTTCTTAAGACACACAGTTAATAGATGGCAGAGCTACAATTTGAATCAAGGCAGACTGGCTTTAGAGCACTTGATCTTTTTTATTACTTCGATTTTTGTTTGAGTGAACAATACATCCAAATGGTTCAAAAATCAAAATGATATAAAATAGTACCCATATACTAGTCTTGTTTCTACCACCCCTCTCTCTCCTCTCTATCTCTAGGTTTGTCTTTATGCAAATATTTGTAAATAAAAATACATATATGTATTGACTTTCCTTTGGCACTACTCTGCTTTTCTTTCTTTTGAACTGAGCAATATACCTTGGAAATCTTTCAATGTCAGGCACAGAGAACTCTTTCATACTTTCCCTTCCTTTCTTCCCATTCTTTTTAACAGTAAATTCCATTGCGTAGATGTACTGTAGTTATTTAGATAGAAACGTGGGTTGTTTCCTTTTGTTTTTATAACTAATGCCACAGTGGACTACCTTTGTGCACATGTTATTTCTGCGTCTTCAGGTACATCTGTAGGCTTGATTCCCAGAAGTAGGATATCACAGGTCAGAGAGTAAATGTATTTGCAATTTTCATAGATATTTTCAAACTGCCCTTCCTATAAATTGTAAACAGTCTGCACTTCTAGTGTTAATGTATGAGGATAGAGGATACACTTTTAACTTCTCTGCAATACTCCAGAGATACCAGAAAAAAAATTTCCGGTAGTGCTAAAAGAGAGATGAGAATGAAGACAATTCCGTGAGGGGTGAGGACAGAACTGAGTTCAGAATTTAATATGCACAGGGACCTTATGGGGTAGGGTCTGTACTATTACTTACAGATATGGATTCTGAGGCGCAGAAAGATTAAGTACCTTCTCTACATTTATATAATAGTGATTGGCCAAGTCTAGATCTGAACACACATCTTAGCTATTATGATTATTCCTTGTCAAATACTAGATTCTCCTAGTGTGTTGAAAAATTTTAATTGTTCTCTATAGTTTCTACCTCACAAAAGCATTTTTATTACAATTTAGAATATTAATATATTATATTTTTATATAGAGACCGTATCAATCGATCAATTACTCAATCATCTATCTGGATTTAGGAAAGTATTGCTTCTTTTCTTTTACTTAAAAATAATGTAACAACTTTTCTTAGTTGTTGTATCACAAAATAAAGTCAGAATTAAATGAAAGTTATGTTTTCCCTGGACCTCAAAAAATATATATCTATTAGATGAGCGGCAAACAAAAACTTTCACTAGAAGTAGACTTCTGGTTCATAATGAAAAGTGTGCTATGTGATATTATTCTTTTTTGTAAATTGTCACAGGGTATGCTCTATTGTTGGTTAGGCAAAAAAGAAAGGTAATGAACATAAACAAAAAATAAGCTCTTAGTAGTTATCATTTGGATATAATCACTTGGGTTTCTACAACTTTTATTTTTAAGTATATTAAAATATTAGAAATATTTTAAGTATATTTTACGTGAACACTAGCTTTAATAAGCCAACCTCAAGAACCTTTACTATGGTTTCTGAGAGTTCTCTGCTGTTTCATTGCATAAAATAAAACCAAACAAAAAATCAGAAAGAAAAATGAACCACAAAATCAATATTCTGACATCTTTTATGAGCTGAATCAAATAGAGGCTATATAATTTAAGGCCTAGCAATATCTAAAATGTTGGCACTAATTCATCACCATTTGGAGACGAAATAACAATTGTGTTCTACTTGGAAACCAATAATTATGTGTTTGTTTCCATGCTGTAAATATTCCCAAGTGGGTTAGCTCACCACCAAAAGGATTTATTGGATTCCATTCATGGCTACAATTGGCATCGACTTTGCTGGAACTGTTATGAACAATCAAATAGGATGTGAAGGCTTTTGAAAAAAATTGCTATATATATGAATAATAGCAATAATATAGAGGTCAGTATCTCCACTTTATGTCTCAATCAATGCCCAGATTTGTTGGCAAGCTTGTTTGGCCTATAGATGTATTTTGTTTACTACATATGGTACTTTAAAAAAAATGTGAATCAATATTTAAAGGAGGGAAAACTTTATACTTTAAAGAAATCTAGATTTCTGCCTTTGCTTGAATAATCTGGAGTTCTGGTAAACCCACATTTTCATAGGGCAGCATTCAGGGAGAACAAAGCAGATGCAGCCGAGTCCTGTCTGGATGGTGTTTTGCTTTTGCTTCACTGCAGTCATAACCACTCCTATTTTATTACCAAGATCAAGGCTATTTGTAATAGACAGATACTTCTCCGAAAAGTTAGATTTTTTCCAAGAGTAACAGAATGAGAATATATTATATTCTTTCTATTGGTCTGCTTAGTTCTGTGAAGTTATCTACCTGGAAAAACTGACTGCATATGACTTTATGACCCTGCTCTAAATTTGTGACATTGTTCTATTTCTACATGTGAAGAAATTAACTGAGTAAATTTTCTGCAAGATAATAGACAGTTGGTGTTGAGACCCAACGGAGGGGCTCTCAAGGTTAGTCATGCAAAAAGCACACTTTTAGCAAAGTTTATGCCCCATGAATATGACTCCTTTCACATCTCCAATATATTGTCAATAGGTTATATTATCAAAAAACTTCCCAAATGAATAAGATGACTGATCACATGTTGTATGTGTCCATCGGTTAATTATACGTAAGCTTTGTTTCTGAATGTTTACAACAGTGCTTGGCACATCGTAGGTGCTCGATAAATATGTGTTGTTGCATGAATAGTAACTCACTGTGTTGAGTGTCTCTGGCAACTGTTTCTCTAGAGCCACCCTCCTCAGGTCCCCCTGCCCCGAGCACCGGAGGCTCACGGGAGAGCTGCATTACTGCGATCCCTGGATCCACTGTGTTCTGGCATCTAATTTGGCCAAAGGGAAGGAGGGGCAGGAGATGGTTGGGAGGAAGGAGAGTGAGGTCGGTATCTAAAACCCTGGCTTCTTGCTTGAGGGCAGAATGCATCCCTCCACGGAAGGTCACAGCTCCTGTCACACAGTCCTCTCCACAATTCTCTTTCTGAGCCTGGGCTTCCAAACCCGCTGCCTCCTCTCACTCTTTCAAGCGTGTGGTAGTAGTAATGTCCCTCCTCACTAGTGCCAGGCTGATAACGCTATTTCTACCAATCTTTGTGAACACAGGTTTCCCCCGCTTTTTGAAAGTTCACTTTATCACAACTTTGTCTTTGTAAAAGACCTATATCAGAACTTGTTTTTCCCTAACCCAAAGAAATCCAAAGATTTTTGCTCTTCTGAAAAATGCAGAGAAGTGAAAATAGAGTTCAGTGTTTTTTTGTTGTTGTTGTTGTTGTTGTTGTTTTTTTTTTTTGCGCCCTGAATAGAGTGGCGCCATCAAGCTCCTTCCCTGGGAACTACACCCAACATCCCAGCATCTGGCCGCCCCAGCTTTGAACTGTGTCTGTGAGCATCTGTGCTCTGCCTCGATTTATTTTTGTGCGATTGTTAGCAAGATGTATTTTCAGGTTAATCGCTTCTTCGCCTTATGCCTTTTCGGTTTACGAAAGGTTTCACAGGCACGCTCGCTTTCACTGAGCGGGGGAAACCTGTCATCCTCTTATAAATCTCTCCTCCAATTATCCAGCTTGCATATGCCATCTGTTCCTGCCAGGCCTCTGACACACATCACAGAGTCTGCTGCAGCCAACTTATTCCCTTCCCTCCGAAAAACAAAATAATAGAGGAGAAGCAGTTCTTCGTGAAACAATCGTTTTCACCTTTACCAGTAACTGAGAGATCTTCACCTGTAAATGGCGGAAGCCGGGTGGGAGCCGGTGTCATAGCTAGCACGAACACGTCCCCGGTAGAGTTCCACAGCGATATGGTCTTTGTCCCCCTTGTACAGGAGGATTCCACTGTCTTCATCTGTGGCAATCTAGTAGGAAGTACCCTTGACATTAGCAGGACATAAAGTCATCCAAACATATTTCATCAAAAAGAAACAAGACTGCTTGGTGTGGAGTTGTTACTATGGTTTATTTTTTCCTTATGGCTATGAGAAAATACTAACGCACGTTGAAATGATGACTTGAAAGATGATCTATTCTAAATTAGTTTGTTGCAAATAAGTTCCTAAAGAATTCTTAAAAGTTTTTAAATTACATAAACGTATTTTTATTCTTTCTGTATTGGCAGCGATGAAGTTTAAAGATGCATGTCCTATGAAATATGCAAAAACAAGGAATTTATATACATGATTTATACTTCAGGAAATTAAAGTTGAAAAATATTTTCCACATCATTAAAGTTCACGGTATTTAAGTAAATTGAGCTCTCCCCCTTCAATTTCAAACTATATTTTCTCAGCAGAGGGTGATAAAAACAAATCAGGAATAAAAGGATCAGATTTCTGTTCTGTTAAAAAGAGCAATAACAAATACTTCGGTAAACACCATTGCATATACTTAGAACTTTCTTTTCTGGCGATTTCACTTACTTGATCTTTTTGCTTCTGCAATGGGCTTCATTTATGGCATATGTGAAATGTGACTGCACTGAGCAAGCTTTTCATATTTCATATTATTTATAGTTATGGCATGAAAAGGGGGAGGGAAATCTCTGTTTATATCCTGTTTCCTGGCTTTTTGGGGCCTTTGAAAGACCAGTTTCATCAACGTTAGGACTTAAGCCCGAACACCACTGGGTATGTAAAACAATCCGAAGTGGCAGATACTGGGAGGTAAGGGACCAGTTTTCTAGAGAAGGCGTCTGCCTTCCAAGGTCGCATTTTTCATGACTTATAAAGAACCCCCTGCTCCTCACTGAAGTGCCAGGGTAAATCAAATAAAGAGTGGGGTCTACAGAAATAGGCTAAGGCCATTTGAATTGAAAACAAATCAAAATATTTTGCTTACCAGACAAAACAAACGTGCAGCCTCAATTTGTCCCATGTACCCTAATCTAGTCTAACCTTGCTAATCATTGCTCAAAGTGTAAAGATTTCAAATAAAACCGAGTTCGTTAACTTTGTGTTGATTCTTAAAGGTTTTTGTTGAAAAGTTGAAAGACACTTGGTGAATATTTTGCCAGAGTGGGTTCTGTCTCACCTGTACTCTTCTTAAATTTAGTTTTCCTAAGAGAAGCCTCCACCTGTGTGGAGCCTGAATTGCAGTTATAAAAATAAACAAATAAAATGCCTTCGCCCAAGCATAAACAAAGAGATGCATTTTGTGTGTGTGTGTGTGTGTGTGTGTGTGTGTGTGTGTGTTTCAAACAATCAAGTAATGAATAAAAATACCTGGTTCCTATTTACTTTTGAAAAATGCAAATGCAGAAGAGAAGATTAAGCTTTTTCACGCATGGAGTATTTTCTCTCATTGTGTTATGCAGCCTGTAACTGTCAATATTTAAGAAATAACATCATTCACAAACTACCACGGATGTTGATGCTTTGAAGCTGAATTTGGCTTAAACGAGATCAGCTCTTGCTGGTGGCAGAACTCTTACCTGAAGTGTGATGTTTGTTTGGGGCCGAACCTTGGCTGAAGGAATCTGAAGATAAGACTCTTTGTTTACAAAATTCACACTGACCAATTTTTCACACTTCTCTCCCTGGTAGCCGGGCAAACACTGGCATATTGGCTCATTTATTCTGATGATGCACTGAGCTCCATTCTGACAATCAAAATTATCACACGGGCTGGTACGAGGGAGGACCATGGGTGGTGAAAATTCACAGAACAAGCCACTAAAGAAAAAATAGAATTAATACATTGATTAAATTGTACTGAATTGCCCATGTAAATTGAGTTGTGTGAGACTTAACTTTGAATACGAATGTGTATTTCTTCTCTTACCTGTAACCTTCGGGGCAGATGCATGTATAGCCATTCACTGCGTCTGTGCAGTGGGCTCCATTTTTACACTTGTTATCTTGGCAGTCGTCGAAATCAACATCGCAGTGCTCGCCTATGTACCCTGGTGTGCAGTCACATCTGTTTGAACAAGCAGGTAAACGGTTTCAGACCCACTGAGCCAAAATAAGTAAAACAGTTGCATTTCATCGAGAAAAAAAATAGTACTATCTAAAAAACTTATTTAGAACAGGCTCCTAGCACCCCCAAGTTAATGGATGCCTAGACAACAACACTGGTCTGCGAAGTATCCCACAGTTTCTTACTGTGATCTATCAGAGGAAGGGTAATTTTATCTCTCTGATGATAGTATCAACAATCCAAATGAGACTAGAATCATTGTAACAGGGTACTTCCCTCCCTCCCTTCTATCTTGCTTTTTCCTTCCTTCCTTCCTTCCTTCCTTCTTCCTTCTTCCCTCCCTCCCTCCCCGCTCTCTCCCTCCCTCTTTTTCTCTGTTCCTGCTTTCTCTTGTTTTCCTTCCTCTCCCTCCCCCCTCTCCCTCCTCTTCCCTCTCTCCCTTCCTTCTTTCTCCACTTTATTTGCCCATAGCGTCCTCCAGTTTTGGCTCTGCCTAACTCATCTGAGCAGTTGAGATGATAAAAGTACTATGTTGTCAAACTTACTAACAATATTAAGCATATTTAAAAAAATAAAATAAAAGGTTTTAAAATGTTCTAATAAAGAATAGATATATTGGAATGAAATATATTCTTATGAAAAACATATGTTAACATCAGATACCCTAATTCAAAATGAATCCAGATAATCGTTACAGCAGAACAGGGCTGACCTAACAGTGAGCCAGGGGAGCTGATAAGCAATTCCTGGGGCCGATCTCTCGGACAGCTTTTCGGCCTGTTTATTCTGGTGGAGTGAGGGCAAAAGGGGTCTCAGCTGCACTGATGGTGAAGAACCAGGGATTCATATGCAGCTGAAATTCATTCTTCGAGTACTTCCTCTGTGTCAGATCCTATTCTAAGCACTTGGCTTATGTGGATTCACTGAATCCTCTCCACAGCCCTGTGCCTTTGGCCATACCATTCCTCTACTCTACAGACGAGGAAACTGAAGGACAAATTGTTTAAGTACCTTACCCAAGGACGTTCAACTTGTAAGTGCCACAGCCAGGAACTGAACCCAAACAATCACACCAGAGAGCCTGAATTTCTAACCACTGCACCATGCTGTTGGAGAATCCCTCAGTGTGCTCTATGAAACCTGTCATTCTCGAGTGCTAACCCCTGGAATCTCTCGCTATGACACCAAGGACCCGGGACTTTACAGTTGCCTGAGCTAAAACAGTGTGGCTAGTGTAGTGGTTTTCAAATTATGCTTTGGGGACCCTGGAAACACTGTAGATATGGCCATGGGGGCGGCCATGGGGGCTACTTCCCGCAGCTTCCCTCTGCCTTCCCTCAGCCCCCAACACTCTCCTGCTGTGAGGTGTTAGTTTGACACATTGGGCTTCCATGAGCATTTGTATTTTGGGTTTAAGAACAGGTTTGCTGACTTTAAAAGACAAACAGAGGAACTAAGGTTTAGAATTATAGAATTTGGACTTTGCAGAGAGCACTGGGTTTGTATCCTGGCTTCATCCTTTAGTGTATGTCATCTTGACTAAGTTACTTAATCTAAGAGTTCAATTCCTCATCTGTAAATGTATAGAATAAAATAATCTCCATCTCATAGGTTTGTTAAAAGATTAAAGAAAAACACTATCTGTAAAATAATTAGCATAATGTTTGATATATAATGCATGATCAATAAATAGCAGGTATTTTTAAATAATTCCATTAAGTATAATCCTATAAAAGTCTTTATGGTTTAATCTGTAGTAATTATCCACTTTTCTATTTCAAAGCCATTAGGGTTTAAGTGAATGAGGATAATTAAAAACACCCAAGTGAATATGGACATTACTGAATGCCAGAGGTTTTGTCTGAAAATGCAAAATAGGGATTTAAGAGTTACTGGAGAGCTAATGAATTAAAATAAATGGAGTAACACGCAGCCTTTCAGCTCTGCATGTATGAATTAAGAAATAAAATGAACTCATGGCATAAGTATGCTTGCCCTAGAGCCAGTGGTTTTCATGCTAAATCATAACAAAGTAAACAAGTCCGAAGTTAAATGGAGCCTAAGTGGCCACAGACATTCTCAAGTAGACGGACGAGCATCGACAAGAGAGCTTCCATCGACGTTAATGCAAGCAGAGCCACTAAACTGCCGAGCATTAAAAGAAAGAAGAAATGCTTTGAAACACTCTGAATTATTTATCTGAGAAAAGAAATCAAAGTAAAAGATAAGAGAATAGCAGATTCACTGCGGTGGCTGTCTAAGAGCTATTTTATATTTCTTCTCTACAAATACCATTTCAAGCCCATTAGAACTTGGAGTCATGCTGTGGCCAATTTTTTTTTTTTTTTTTTGTCTTTCTTTTGATCCTCGGACCTAGTTTTACAACAGGATAAAAATATTTAATTAGGAATTTCTTAAAGTTTGTATTAACAATAAAACCTATCATATTCCCTCAACTCCATTATCTGACAAGGAGTGAGGAAGAAAGCAAAGACTATAAAATATACTGTTTACAAGCCCAAAAGCTGACTAAGTAAGATGCATGCTTGAAAATACTCCTTATGGCATATTGTGCTCTAAAAATATCTCAAAGCAATTTAGGAGATTTATGAGGTATATAATAAAGCACAAGAAGTAAAACCAACTCTCTTAGCTCGGTAATAAGAAAATGAATTTAAAGAAATAGTGTAACTTGTCCAAACAACATTTGTCAGTAGAAATTTTTCTTTAGCAGCTTCATATAGTTTTGGTTTTTATGTCTATTTTTTTTTTTGAAACTCTCTTTTCCACAATACGCAATTATTTATAATATGGGAGTAATAGCATATACTATAACATAACCTGTTTTCTGATATGCTACATATAACTGGAAGACAAACTCACAAATTACTGCTGAAAACATGTTCCCAAATTAGTTAACCTATAATTTGAGTGAGATGCACTTTTAAGAGTGTGCAATCTAATTGACAGTAATAGAAAATATTGAATTGAGGATCTGTCTTTTTGAAAATGAACTCCTTTGTTTTTTAATGATTTCTACTGTCTTAATAATACTTTATGTTATAATTACAATGCACAAAGCCCTGTGAAACCTGAGTAGCAGATAAGCAGTGGTAAAAAAACACTTTATTTCTCTGAGAAATGAGAAAGTAAGTTATGAAAGTGATAGACTTTCAGTTTGCCAAATTCGATTGTGGGCAGGTCAAAGACATTAGGAGTTCAAATAATTTAGGTTCAGTGTTTAGAAGAACAAAATGCAATACAGAATTTTGTATAAAATAAAGACTTCAGTATACTTTTGGTTTTTGTGATAGGTTATAAACTAAAATATAATAAAAAGTACAATCAAAGGTATTGTTTTCTTTTTCTTTTGTTGCTTATTTTGCACATTTAAAAATTTTTTCTTTTATTAGTTTCAAGTATACAGTACATTGGTTAGACATTTATATAGTTTATAAAATGATCCCTCTAATCCCTCTAATAGGCAGATGCTGCAACTGTACTTGTGTATTCTAAAATGATGGATTTTAAACCAAATTGCATCAAAAAAAATTCTCTGAATAAAAATTGAGAATAAATATTTTATTCAGATTGATCTTTAAAGGCAGTGGAGAGCTGGTAATATTTATCTCACCTCCCATCCAGTTTGGAACATATGATGATCTGTTGACAAGTTGCAATATGTTAGAGCCTCAGTTCAAATCCCATCTCCTCCTATAAAATTGTTCCTGACCTGCATAATTTTTAATTCTCTGATTCCTATGTCAATCAAGCTATAAAGCACAATAAAAACATAAGATGATAGTATTGCTACGGACCCATGGCAGGTGCTCAATACATATTGCATAAGGAACAAATGATATTTGTTAACTGTCCAACATAAACACAGCTCAGCTCTTCAACTCGATTGTGCCACTCTTGAGAATCCAGCTTACCTTCCCTAACAAACCAACTGCAATGTTAATAAACTACAGAACTTCTTAGAGGTAACCTCTGTTAGAGGTAAGCAGCTGGGAGGACATATCTAAGCTCCAGCTCTGCCTCTGAATGACCTTGAGATCTTTAGACAGCCACAGACCTCCCTGGGCGGTAGTTTCCTCAGTTTTAAAAGCAGGAGTTTGGACAAGATGATCTGTAAACTACTGTCATCTCTGAGAATAGAAGTTGCCGTCGATAGACCCTTACAATATTTCAGGATTGTGGCAAAGGAATAATTTAATTTGAGACCAAACACATTTTAGGAAGATTGCTGAGGAGGACATAAAAAATGATTTTGAAGTTCCGAGTTTACTTGAGGAAACCCTCTATCTAGAGGGACAGTGTGCTTTATCATCCCACACAAGACATGTGGAAGGTGAAGGGGGCACTCTTAGTAATTACGCTGAGACAACAGGCATAAACTAAGACTGTTCCGTGGCAGCCTGGGACATACGGGCCCTCTCTCTTCCTCACCAAAGTATTGCTGCAGATCAACACATTTTGTCACATTACATTCAACTCCCTATTTTCCCACAACTTACATTCAGATAATAAAACACCTAGCAGATGTTACAAATTTATTTGGCCTATAAATACATTTAGGTAAGTACAGTCAAAGCCTACTTTATTTCCTACATGATTTCCCAGGAAGAGTCATAGAGCGAAAGAAAACACTCTCTTTTATATATCTGTTTTTTTAGTGGACTGAAAAAAAAAAAGAAGTCCATGCTACAGATGAACATTGATACAAATGCCACTGACAGTAGACAATATGTCCCTTTAATCCTGACTAACGGTGTGAAGCTAGGTCCTGAACAGCAGGTAGAAAACAGGGGTCCCTGAAAGAAAAGTCTGTGAGCACCAAGGCGGCCTCTGACTTACTTGAATCCCTTTGGTGTCAGGATGCACTTGGAGTCGTGCTGGCAGGGGTTCAGGTCCTGGGCACAGAAGTCCAGTTTCTCCTCACACAACTCACCTGTTAACATGGCAGAACAGCGTTAGTTCACAGAGAAAGGTGAACGGGCCTCCCGCCAGCAGGCTGTGGCATGGACCTCAGACGATAGCCCAGCTCATGACGGGAAAAAGAAAATCACACAATACGGAAGCAGAAGATTCAAAATTCTGCTTCTGCTAAACAGGCTTATGACTGAGGACAACACGAGGACTGTTGGGATTAGAGAAAAATCTGAATGGTTTTCATTTCTATGGTTATATTTATTTTCTTTTGGACTTCTTTTTGAAGTATGTTGTATACCCAAAGGATAAATGAATAGCTAATGAAATATTCACAAACTGAACCCACTCATCTAACCAGCATCCATTTCCAGAAACACACCATTCACCAGCAAAATCCCCGAAGCCTAACGCCCAGGGTAAGTCACCACTATCCTGACAGGACCATAGACTAGTCGTGCTTGATTTTGAGCTAACCATGAGTAGAATCATTCGATATGTACCCCTTTATGTCTGGCTTATTCTATTTTATGTTTGAAAAAGTAATCCTCAAATCTTCATAGTCTCTAAAGTTTTATAAGTCTCGAATACACTATTTTTCTCCTAATGACTTATTACAACAGCTCAAAAGAATACTCCTTAGCTACATCCACCAAGACAGACAGAAAAAATCAAAAGGAGAATCAATCTAGACAGAAAACATACACTTTTTTCCTGAGTATTAGCTAGCTCATAAAAAATAATTATTACCAATAAATGAGAGCTAAAAGCATAATCATACGGATTCTAGACATACTATGTTGAATTAATGTCTGACTCTCTTAGAAAATTTCTTCAGATATAAACAACATGGTTATATTTTATATTTTCAGATATATTAGGCCAAATGTGATTTTCCAAGAGAAGACTTTCCCAAACGTTGTGTGAGATATGAAGAAGACTGGAAAAATATAAAATAAAAAGTCCTTCTTTTCTACTTTACTTCTAAATTACTTTTCAATTGTTTTAGTGACACATCGATAGGCCGCTGTTCATTTCCAAAAAATTATTAGAACTTTTATTTGTTCGAAGTGTGTGGATTTAAATAGCTTGTTAAATATCACAAGTTTGTAGCACATCACTTTGCTACAAGACTATCCTTTTAGTAATTGATAGAAATGGTTGCTTAACAACTAAATGTGGCATATTATTTACACTTTTTCCATGATGCAAATATACAAATTTACTCATCTAAGTATTACATTAATTTGGTGTATAATAAGTTTGCTTTCATTTTTCTGTATCTTAAATTAAATTAATTGCAGTAAAAGTCTCATATATTTCTTCTATAAGAGGCTTTCTGGGTTTATAAATCTATGATACAAAAAGTTTTAATGACATATTCATGATGAGTTATTTTTGAACAGGGTTTTTTAAATGCCTTTCACTTTCAGTTAGTATTACTTTAAGTAATGCACCTTGATGGAATTTGTTCATTATGATTTATCACCTTACCAGGATGAAATATCACTTTCGGTTTATAATCAAATCTATCTGGTTGGAGTCAAGCTGTTTGCAGTAGTTTATATCCCAGGCAGTTTATAAAAATTGAAGATAGACAGGGACCATTGAGATGTATAATAAATATCATTTTATGTCTTTTTCACTTTATACTCAAATAAGAAATTGTTTTTAAAATGATAAGGGGGACTTGTTTTATTTCTTATTCACTTTCATCTGATCCAATTTAATCCAAACCAGTACAATCCACTTAAACCAATCTAAACCGCAGTCCATAAGGTCTTTCTATATGATGCTCTGTGCTCCATACTGGGCCTACAAGGATGGACGTAATGACCTCTGCCCTCAGTTGGCTCCCCATCTACTAATCTACTAGGAGAGAAATCTGAGCTGGAGGCAGATCACAGAGAGAGAACTGCAGCTCGAAGAGAAGGAAATAGAGTTCACCCTTTAGTCTCTCACGGGCATTTATTTCCCATAAATTTGATGTGGAAAGAAGTGAGAAAGGAGATGATTCTAAGAAACTATTGGCTAAGCAGATTGCCAAATCCGTAATCACAGCTTTAAGACTAAGCACGTATACTTGAATGAAAAAAGCTACATCAATGTCAAGGATTTCTTATCTTCCAAGGAATCTATCTTGTAAGAATAGTACAGCAGCAATACTAATCATGGCTGAAATTGTGTATGCTCGTTCTTTGTGATCATTACATACCTACACATTTGACGATTGGTTGATTAGTTCAAAAAGGATTTGTCTCCCTTTAAGTATCACCAAATATTATAATACTAACAATATTACAAAGCATTCTCTTCATCCCATTACTGCTTAACTCACTTTTAAAGCCCAATCTTTCAGCCTATACTCTTGGCACCTGCATCTATTCACTGTTTTATGAATTTTCTCAGATCCACACCTGGGCTGATAGTGTTTCATTTTGCTTCAGTAACTTTAATAAGTTCTGTTGCCAATTTTCTCATCCATTATATGTCCCCTTCTTTACGACACTTTTTCTGGATTTTATTAACCACTCGTTACCTATCTACAATTTTTGTATGTCATGTTTGCTTATGCCTATCTTCTGGCACATATATTGTATGCATTTATTTATTGACAAACAGATAGTGCTTGTCACTGTGTGTCAGACAGTTTTAAACATCGCGCAAATAGGCAGTCATTTAATGTTTATGAGAACCATATAAGGTAAGGTTGTAGGGTTGCACTGTTTTGGATGCATTGGATAATACCTGTGTTTATCTCATTCCCTTTCTATGACTGTAAGATCACTGAGAGCAGCATGGTGGCATATATGTCCCTATATCTTTCTAGAGTATGGTGTGGAGACATACTAAAATAGCAGTTATGGAAAGAAAGGTTCATGCTTCTTAAGGCAAGAACTCTCTCTTGTTGACTTTTATTTAACTTGGGTTTCATTTTAGCCTTTCGACATTTTTCGGTTTAATTTTTACTTAATAAACTAGTCGCTCATCATTAATAATAACTAGCTTATGCTCTTTCCTTTAAATGTTACTTAAAATTTTCCCTGACCAAATATCAAAATAAAGGTTTTCATTGAACTATTTCTTTAATTTATTCTAATTATAGTGGATTCTGCTGTATTTGGCAGAAGGAAGCTTTTAAATTTCAAATAGGAGCTCAATATAAGATGGGAAACAGAGCAAGCCTTAAAGATTTGATAGTTACTTCTTAACCAGTAAAGGGCAATTGGACATTTGCAAGCTATGTTGGTTTTCGAGGAAGAATAGAAATAAAATATACTAACAGTAGTGCCCTCATGTGTTTTTAGTCACTGTTGAAAAATCTCAGAGCAAGTCTTGAATTAGTGGAAAAATTAGGGAAAAATGGAAAATAAGGCACCTGAATTTGCTTAATGGTTCAGGGCCTGCCTGACATCATATCATCAGGACTGTCTCCCCTTCCCAAGATGATAAAGTAGGAGGTGACAGAAAGAAAAGGTGGAAATGTTCTTTTTATACTACACATACTTACATAGTTACTACTGGAACCTGTTATCCTATAAGCAGGTCTTTATACTTTCGACAAGGCATCAGGAAAGCTAAATCAGCCCACTGGAGTGGTTAAGGGCAAGAAGTTTAAATTTCAGTGCCCACACACTCCTCAAATGATAGGGGTCTAGACAAACCTTGACTCCACAATTTCGCTTCAACCCACTCCAATAAATCCCAGAAAATCCTATTTATTTGCTTTCAGCCCCTGAATCCTTAAAAGTCCTCAATGCCAGAACAAGAGCATGGAACACAATGGTTGCTTGGCATGTGTGGTTTCACTTTTGATCAGATGAATAAATTAATTTTCTTTATGCTTCCAATTTTCAGCTTTTTTTGTTGATAAGAAATTAAAAAGGTGTGTGTGTATATGTGTGTGTGTGTGTGTGAGTGCGTGTGTGTCGGATGTCTGTATTTTCTAGAAGAAACAGAGAGTGGTCAACCAGGGAGCCTACTGCCACCTCTTTGGGACAACAGAGGTCAGTGAATGATCCACTATAACTTGTGAAGAAGAAGCACCGCGAGTCCTAATCGGAGGTGTCTTCTTGGTAAGAAAGTGATGTCTGCTTCTTGGATTACTTCCTGATTGTGTCTGTAAGGGAAGGACAGTGGAGAGAGGGACTGGAATTGGCCAAGTCCTACAGTTATACCAGCATGAGCTGTGAGGGTGCAAGGCAAGAGTGATGTCCACTTCGCTAAAAGGATGTAACTCTGCAAAGCCTACTCCCAAGGGAGAGGTACAATTCATTGTTTACTGAACATCGGTAAGTGTGGTTTTTCTGAAGAATTGGATATAGTGGCAATGGGACCATACATCCGGGCTTCCTCAGGACAGTCCTGGTTTACACCTGTTATCCCAAAGTCATTATCAATAGTGTCCCCGTGCCCTCACCCAAGTGCCCTAATTTGGATGGTAAGTTTTAGGGCCACCTCATAGGTGGAGCAGTCAAAGCTGAAATCATCAGAGTTAATGCTTGGTTTGGAGTGAAGAGTAAACGAGGGTTAATGGGAGAAATCCTAGGGAGAAACGACGTTTATTGGGTGAGATGACATTTGGGTTGCTGAGTTATTGCTTGGAAAGGCCTTCTGTGACTTATTCAGTATGCAGCAGTGGACTGGTTGCAGAGAAGCAAACTGTTTTGTTGTTCTGGGCCCTAATTCCTCATCGGTGAAATGAGGTTCTGGGATGGAAGTCATGCAAGGTCAACTGTGGCTCTCAAAAGTCTTTTAAAAAATGCTTGTAAAGAGACAGAAAATGCAGATAGCAAGTTAGAAGAGGGAGCATCACGCTCAGCTGTATGAAACAACATTATTGCACATTCAGTGGTTAAAAACAAAGTGTCAGCACATGCTCTGAGCCCCCCGAGGTACCAATGTTGTGAGTATCATTGCAGTGTGGCAGAAATCTCAATGTACTTTGATGGGGAATTGTACCTGGAGCTGGCCTTGCCTCCTGCTTCAGTTTAGATCTGTGAATCTAATTTTAATGTTCCT